CTTCTTCCTAATGGATTCTTCTTATAATCACTGTGCTTTTCTACAGCTCCTTTGCGCTGAAAACCGCTAGGAGTGCAGAATGGCAAAAGTGAAACATTACAGACCAAACTCCAAAGTCGGGATTGAAGTGTAAACAGCCTGAATGATTGAGAATTATAACTAATTCCATCGACACAAGGACTCGAGACTTCTCATCAGCTGCAGTGACACTGTTTCATATCTGAGCAAACATGAACCTCAAAGCTTGGACTGAAAAAGGAAAGCTTCACTCAGGGCAATGTCAACCTCCTCTTTGCTGGCTCCGAGCTGCCAGCTACATCAAAGTAGCATCCCACTCCCTTAGAAGTACCAAAGAATCAAGTGTCCATGAGAAAAAAACCTTTGAGTATGTTTTCCAGCTGGCCAGACAGACATAACAAAGTCTGGTCTTTGACACCACAGTAAATCACTTTAGGCTTCAGCTTCAATCTTGCTCTTCAGCTGCAGTGGTTGAGGAATAAATTGTTTTTTAAATCCGGCATGTTTAACTGCCTTTCTCCGAAACAAGAGTTGGCAACCAAATATAACTGTGTGTTCTGCTAATATGTGACCTTCATTGAGTAATCATTCTCCTAAAATCAGATTGAAAACAAAAACTAAGGGCCCTATCTTGCCGATCTGAAGCGCAAGTATCAAACGCAAAACGCAAGTAGCTGTGTGTGCGGATCTTGGGCGCTGTTGCTATTATGCTGGCGGGATAAATGACTCATCTAAAATGGGTTGGTCTGAAGTAGCTACATTAGTCATAGGTGTGGTTTGGGTGTAACAAACCAATCAGAGCGTCATCTCACATTCCCTTTAAAAGCAGGCGTGCTTGTTCCAAGGCGGATTGCTATTATAATGGCGGATTGGCCAGGCGCACACCAGGAGCGGTTCACAGCCGAGGAGACCGACGTTCTCGTCAGGGCCGTAAAATACCGAGAAGTGACATTATTGACATGAAATAAATGTAACACAGCCATACAATAAATCCAAACAATGTAACGCAGCTTCGCAGGAAGAAGACCCTGGCCTCGGGAGCATTGCGCACGGGCCGAACAGTGCGCAAGGGCCAGCTGAGGAGGGAGCAGCGCAAACACCAAGGTGCAGAGGATCCAGACCCGCTACACACCGGAGGACCACCCGTTCCTGCAGCAAACCGGGTTTGACATGCTGGAGCGGGAGCTGTCCGGGATGCGGCAAAGTATTAATGCCCGTCTTGACCGGGTGGCGATGTTGCTGCGGCCTCTCAGGCGCATCACCTCAAGTCTGCGCCCTTAAAATAGCATCTGAATAAGCGCCACTGACTTTAGACTAGGTCTTTCCTGGTCTGTGGCGGAATTGTTTTCTGAAACAGCAAAATAGCACCAGGGAACGTTTGCGCCGGAACACGCCTCCTCTTTTCGCTGAACCCCCCCGAACCCCAAGTTCATTCCCTAATTTAAGGACGTGCGTCGGTGGAGGGAAGATTTCAATGTGCGTTGAGTGCAAAATAGGAATTATACAAGTGCCAGTGTACAAAGTCAATGCGCAAGATAGAGCCCTAAGAGTCTGCAGCAATGCTAGCAGCTCTTTGATATATATTGTCAATGGGCTGTACTTAGGCTCAGTGGTGCGGTGAGCTAAATGGTAAGATCAGCTTGCCAACATGCTCAGTTATAGTTCTGCATATTAAGAAATGGGATTATTTGCTTCCTGGTGGAGAGTTGAATGAGAAAATTGATGATCACAACCAGCAACTGGTTAGCTTAGCTTAGCTTAGCATAACACACAGGTTAGCCTGGCAATGGCCAAAGGTAACAAAATCTGAGTTCCAGGACCTCAAAAGCTTAGTTATAAATCTTGTTTTTTAAATTCATATATTCAAAATGTAAAAACAGAGGCACTGGTTGCAGATTTTGTTACCTTTGGACTGAGCCAGGCTAGCTGTTTCCAGTCTTTATGCTTTGCTAAGCTAACCGGCTGCTGGCTTCAAATTCAATGCACGGACATGAGAGTGGTATCGATCTTCTCCTCTCTCAGCCAGAATGAAAATAAGTATAAATTATTTTTGTCAAGAATATATTGTAGATGGACCGTGGAGTAAATAAGTCGCTGTGTTTGGCATGCTGAGGGACCTGGAAGTGTAAAAATGCTCACTCAATTATAAGGACTCCTTACTGCAGCACTCTGTTAGCACCATTGACAGTATATATATATATATATATATATATATATATATATATAAGGTTAGCACTAAACAAAGTACAGATGATACTGATGGGAATGTCATTTTGCATGTATCTGACAAATTGAAATTTGACCTGATGATGAAACTAGATAAAACGTCACGTTATAACAATTCATCCTGAGGGGAACATGAATGTTTCATGGCAATCCATCCCATAGTTCTTGTCCTGGTCCTCTGACATTGATATTTCTAGAGCTGTGATGCAAACATGGCTAACAAGTCTATATGTATCTGCTCAGTAAATGAGCTTCGTTATACAGTCAGGTTTTTTTTTTTTTTTACTTTATCCCTTCCTACATAGTTTCCGTGTTTAATTAACATGAAGAGATTTATTCAAACACAAAGCGTAACTGTCATGGTACAAAATGGTATTACTTGTAAAGCAGGGGCTTAAAAAAACATTTATGTAACTCTGAACTTATTCTAAATGTGCCAGTGAAAGTCCAGATGTGGCACAACATGTCCTCCTCCTATTCCAAAAGAAACTTTGCTCTTATCCTCAACAGCAGCCTGAGCAGGGTCTCCTCTCTTCTCTCAGGGTAAATTATCAGTCTGATGCCCAAAGCACTCTTGTCTCCATCCTCTCCGACATGCCAATAAACCTGAGGCAACTAGAAATGGCGTCTCTCTTAGGAAAGCCTGTGTGACTCCAGTCTGACCCTGCTGCCGCCTCTCTCCTCCTTCACTGCTGCAGAGAACACAAGATTTAAGACGGCAAACTAATTCGCTCCAGCTGGAGGCAATAACTGTATGTCTGTGTGTGTTTTCAAGCTCTATTTCTTTCACTCACAGAATACACCCTGCATGCTCATAAACATGGACTTGAATGACTGCACTTTTTCACTGACACACTGTACTATCTATACTTGTGTATGTGTGTGTGTGTGTCACACATAAAAACACTGACAAAGGACCTCCACGAAACCATCTGGACAGCAGGTTGCCGTTTCATCAATACCCATAATTCACCTGTAGGCTAGGCATAAAAAACAGATAGAAAGAAGGTGGAGGAAATAAAGAAAGAGGGATATCTGACATAAAGATAGCAGCAGGTGTACAGGTCGTGGTCCATGTCATCTCATGTCCACGTACCACAGCTCAGTAAGTCAAGTGTCAGGGTCTTTTTTTTTGTGTGTGTGTGTGTGTGTGTGTGTGTGTGTGTGTGTGTGTGTGTGTGTGTGTGTGTGTGTGTGAGGTCATGGCAGTTCAGATAATTCTAGATTTGTCGATCAGAAATATAATTACCAATGATGTGTTTTTCCTGCTCTTAGGATGTCTGTCTGTCTCTGTATCTGTTGTTGATATGAACTCAACTTCCCATTAGTTTTGGCATCGAGATAATTCATTAAGCTTGGTTTCACTACGTTGCATAAAAAATGACGGTAACAAAGCCAAATGCATTGCAGCTGTCACCTCTAGTGTTTATGTATCTGTTCGCCTGAGGGGTGAGAAGGGGAGGTGCTGTGTGTAATGTCACAAACATGATGCATACGCAACTGCATGTACATATCACTTGACCTCTAACTTCCAAGCCAGTCATTTTCATCTGCGTGTGCAGGGGGGGAAAGCTTATGATTATATGTTGCTATTAAAGTAATGAGATGCAGACAGAAGGGTTAAATGTGTAGACTGCTACCGAATGTACAAGCTGTCCTACGAGAATGAACCGCAAAGAAAGAGAGAGATGGTCAACTAAATGTCCTCAATTAAAATAGCTACGGTACCAGATGGAGACGAGATGGAGACAGAGAAAAGGAAAGAAAGAAAGAAATGGGAGAGATAACATGGAGGAAGACAGAAAAGAGAAAATGAATGCAAGATAACATGGGGACAGTTAAAAAGAGAGAGAGAGAGATCAGAGAGGTATTTAGCTGTACTCTCAAGCATCACACACAACAACACATAAAGGCACAGTGCTGAGTAATATATGGTTGGATCAAGAAATCGATGTTAAAAAACATTGTGTCATATATGTATGACACAATATGGCAAAATCCCATGTAAAATAAAGTGATTTTGAGGGGTTTGAAAAGGTCAAAAACTTGGAGAAAAAACCCCACCAGAATATTTGGATACTTTGCACTAAACTCACAATTACTGCTGGAAAACCTAAAGAAATTAAAGTTTTAAAAAAACAGAGCCCTTGAGAGGAAAAATGACTGTGAAGAGACATACATTGTCACTGCAGCCGTTTATTTGATCCTTGCATCTATGATCCACATAGGAAATTGACTCAAAAGTAAATATATTCAATAAATCATCACCTATTCATCTGTGAATTATGCATTTCTTATCCTACATATTATACACTATATACACCATTTGAGGAATGTCTTGCGATCAGTGTGTTGTTTGAGGGCTCGAAAATCATCATTAACCATGATAGGGAACACGAAACTGATAAAAAAAAGGATCCAAGTTGAATGTTAAAGGTCAGTACTATAAAAACGGAAAATTCTTGTTTTGTGTTTATGTTGCCCACATACATCATATTCATTTAACTTTGCTCCACTCTATATGTGGTCATCCATGCGCCACCCACAGTGGATCTATAACCGCGAGAACCTGAAGACAGAAGGTGTCAGATGCTGTATGGATCCTGAAATCCTGTGAGACAAACCTGTGATTTCTGGTTTTATAAATAAACTTGACTGTTTGGACTTGACTTGTGTTGAATGAGAAAGCAGCTTCAGTGTCAGTGTATGTGTGCTCTTTTTTTGGCACTTCTGGTGTGTGTGTGTGTGTGTGTGTTTTGTGTGTTTTGTTGTGTGTGTGTGTGTGTGTGTGTGTGTGTGTGTGTGTGTGTGTGTGTGTGTGGCAGGTGAGTGTCAGTGTAAGACAGGTGGTCATTTGGATGTGTGTGTATCTCTCTGTCTCTGTGGAACTTCAGCCTTCATCTTGAAGCTGTCCCAGTAGGCAGAGTCTTCCTCTGTCAGAGGTGAGGCGGAGGCGATGAGGTCACTGAACGACAGCAGCGTGAATGTGGTGGCAGGAGGAAGAGATGGACGAAGAGGCTGAGAAGAAGAGAGTCTTTAATCACTGAGTGTAGTGATTATTTTTTCAATTAATGACTCATTATTTAGCCTGTAAAATGAAAATAGAAAAATTGCCATTACATGTTTCTAGAGACCAAAGTGTTTAAACAACAGTTGGTTTTAATGATAAGAGATTTATGTACATTATAGATTCACATTATTGGATTAAAGATTAAACCTACAAATGTTTGTATTTCTTTTTTAATAAATTACTTAAAACTTTATTAAATTATCATTTTCGGTCCATTTCATTGATTTACTTGATTGATTTATTGTCAACTTGTTTCTTTACTAATGTCTGACTGAGATTATAGATTGTAGGCTAATTTGTGAATTAGAATATGCTGTTAGGCTCTTGCACATACGGGAGGTGTTTTATACATACGACTGTAGTATAGTGAGACTACCTGTTGTGTACTGTTTAAGCTAAAGTCTGTACCAATGGATATGTTTCTAGTCACCTGGTGAATGTAAGTTCTCTCTTTTAGCTCTGTTATTGGTCTCTACCAACTTCTGAGAGAAATGTCTGGCTCTTCAGCTGCTAACAGCTCCACTGTATTCACCAGCTGGTTGCCGACTGTCTCTGTATGTCTGGTTTGGTGCTGACCAGGTTTTGTACAGTGGGTTTATAGAGCTTTTTTTAATAAAAACAACTTCCTGCTGTTGCCAAAAAAGACGCAATGAGTGCGGTGAGAGTGAACCAAAACAGTAAAGTTGCAGGCTGGACAGCTAAACAATATAATAATTCTCTGCAGGTTCATCACTATTGGTGATCATATTGTCACATTGTCATCTGATTCACTGTTTTTATAAGAAATGTTTATTATAGCGGCTGTAAAGAGTAACTTAACTTTTTTTTTTTCTGACATCCAGTGGTCTGACTTCTTACCTTACCAGTTCTATAGCTATATGGAGCCCGCCAGGTTTCTACAGTAACCCAGTAGGAACAAACCAAACACTGTCTCTAAATAGGGGAGCTCGTGTTTTTTGTGTGTTTGCTAGTGTGTGCTAGATGCCACAAAATACTACACACTGGTTCTTTAAGTGCCTCTTCGGTGGGGTATTAGAGACACATAGAAAACTGTGCAGCGTTATGGCTACAAATGAAACATCTCTTACATGACTTTTGAAAATGTCCCTTTAATAATGCATCCCGAGAAAAATGATCAGTTATTCCGAATGAGCTCAACTGTCAAATGTCGAAAATGTGAATGTTATGTGTCCTTACTGCAGAGGCTGGCTTGTCCGCTGGTCCGAGTGCTACAGCAACATGATGGTCAGCATCCAGGAGGCTCTCCTGCAGACATACACACACATGTAAACACACACGCCTCAGCACATGCAAATAAACAGCCTGCATGTCATACTACATAAACAAATTCTCCTTCACATTCAAATTCAGAGCAAATACTATAGAATGCAATATCATATCATAAAATATAGAGCAAATACTATATGACAAATAATGCATATGTGCATCCTTATCAGCGGCCACTTTTGCATAATTCATTGAATACATGCATGTAAATATCTCGCGCATCAATTCGAAGGACAGTGAGTGAAGGTCACATAACCACTGCGTTTACAAGTCACACATTGTTTCCCGAGCAGAAACGGGTGCATACGATAACAGGAAACATCAAGCGTAAATGTATTCACTGAAAAATGTCAGCGCCTAGCTTGAAGATATAAATCCATTCTGCAGCATATATAATTAATACATGTGGCAAAATCAGATCCATATCCAGTCTTCCAGCCTTGCTTATGTGAGTCAAGGGAGGATTTTTTCCACTGTTTGCCTCCTTACTAGTCCTATATTATACAATATATACACTGTAAATCTATCCTGTTGAGGCTTAGTTATCCTAAAAACATCCATTCAAAAGAGATTTGGTTTGAAATACTTCATCCACTCTATAACGTCAACTCAAAATACAATTTGTGCTGCAATTGCCTCTGTAACTGGCAAAAATACACTTGGACATTAAAGGCCAATAGCTGAGTGTGTATATGTGGGAGTAACAGGTGGTGTGTGTGTGTGTGTGTGTGTGTGTGTGTGTGTGTGTGTGTGTGTGTGTGTGTGTGTGTGTGTAGTGGGGGGTTAGTTATAAAATGGCAGACAGTGCGGGAGCATAGAGATAAGCTCTGTATCACTGTATCAGCAGGGACTGGACTTAAATCTGAATATTTAGCAATTTTGCTGTCAAAAAAGAGGAAAGCACCATCTTTGTTACAGTGTAATTTGAATGTGTGTTATTATGTCCCTCCGTGTTTGTGTCTAGAGGCTGCAGGGGTGACATCACCAGAGGTCAGCAGGAAGTAATTCTCATCGCTGCACTCTGATCTAGCCAATCAGCTCACAGTGAGCCAGAGGACACGCGGTCAACAGCACTGCTGCTCATCTCCACTCTCTGTTAACACTTGGAGCTCTGAGCATGTCTATTTGTATATACGACAAATTCAAAAAATAGATTCAGCTCGAGGTTGTAACCCTAACCCCAACTGCAATCATTCACTGATCACAAATAATGGTGTGTGTCGCTGTTCTTAAGGACACACAGTGAGACGACGCGCTCCACTGAGGTGTGTAAGTGCAGTCTGGAACGACGGCCTGTACATTATGAGGCACACGTCTTTGTGTCATTACACTTTATTGTACTTAAACATCTAAAATGTGAGATTTTATTTTATCCTTGAGCTCTCCTTACACATTATAATCTATTTTAGGCTTGATTTTATAGGATATTATTATCTTGTCATATCTTGTTTTTAAGTTTATTCTATTTTATTGTATCCATCTTTGTTTGATTGTAAATGTTGTGATTTGCTTTTATGTAAAGCACTGTGTCAATCATTATTGTTGTTGTTTTTGCTATCGTTATTCAGAGTTGAGGACAAATTTAGTATTTGTCATTATCAATCATTTAACGTTGCCAGCTGGGGCATTTTGTGGAGTTGCATTCTTTGGTGTATAATATTTATAACATTTATACCCATATTTACTTTTTATTCCCAAACTTTTGGACAGCATTAAATCCAAAAAATGTTTGGCTAATATGGATGTTGTTAAAGGAAACCTCTCTATCTATGATGAAATAGGTTTTATATTTATAATTATTAATATCATTAGGGCTGCAACTAATGGTAATTTTCATTGTCAGTTATGTGCTAATTATTTTCTAGCTTGATCAATTCATTATTTTGCAAACAAAATGGAAATTACAAAAAACCTACAGCCCAACGTAACATCTGCAGATGTCAAAACCCAAAGGTATGTCATTTACAATCGCATAACACACAGAAAAGCAGTAAATGCTCATATATTAACATTCTGGCACCAGCAAATGTTTTTTTGCTTGACAAGTGACTCAAACCATATTGGTTATGAAAAAATAGTTTAAACAATTTTATATTTTTACATACATTTTGCATTTTGTCAGTGTCTAATTCAACAACAGACCAATGTGTTGTGGTCTAGCATACAGGTGTTGATACTATATGGAAATGCTGTGATGTTCAAACACCTGATGAAACTAATTTAAACCCAAATGTCACATTGAGACAACTTGCACCTCTTCATCCTTCATGCTCCCAAAACAACCTCTATATTCTGTATGTTGCTGTTACTTCACTTTGCCCAACAATCTATAGTTAAAAAGGGGACACATGCATTACCTTCTACCTGCGATCAATATAAGTGAGCTGTTATTCTCTGGTGTGAAAACACAGACACTAAAACAGCATTAAGCCTCCAAGACCCCAAGAGAGGGAAGAGGAGAGGAGATGTAACATCAGGCTTTTCAAACCAGTGGTAACCTTTTAGCAGGCACTTGTTAATCCCTCTGCCGCTGGGCATGAAGGGAAGAGTGAGGAGTAGGAGGAGGAATGGAGAGGAACAATACAGGGGGAAGAGAGGAGAGGAGGCGAAAGAGGAGAGGAGGTATAGTAAAATGATGGAGGAGAGAGAAAAGAGAAGGAGATATTAGATATAACATCAAAGAGAGAAGTGAAGAGGAGAGTGAAATGAAGTTGAGGAGACAAGAAGAAGATGAGAGGAGCAAAAAAAGAGGAGATGAAATGGGAAATAGGAGAGGAGTGAGAGGAGTGATGGCAACAGATGATTCTCCCGCTCTGACACTCCTCTAATCTCTTGTCATGGTGTTAGGAGGGCTAGAGGGCCACTTGAGAGCCCCCCTATTGCAAGTCTC